GAAAGATAGATGATTAAATTTCGACAAGAAATTCAAAACCCAATGAATAAAAGTAACCTGGTTATATTTCTTGATCGCCTCTGCATTTGCAATAAGTTCAAGTGGCCAAGAGACCTGACAATAAAATACATATAAACGCTCAGAGTGGTTGCAAGGAGCTAAATGACGAAAGAAGCTTTATTAGCCATCACTAGACCTTATACGTAAATTTTAGCTGATCAAGTCCATCCATTCCAAAGCTGTGAGCACAACTTTTACGAGGAGTCGAGGGAAGTGAAGCCATATTAGGTGGTTGCTCATTGCCATTCAAGTCATGATTTTTGGTGAGGGATACAATCAATGAATCAGGAACACTTAGTAGCACACCATCAGCAGAGTTCCTTATAGATTCCTGCAGTTAATAAGAATTCACATTGCCATTTTATAAATAGGAAGAAAATCCAGGAATCCCAGAGTCATCGTGTTTAACTCAAAATAGGAAGAAAATGTTATATTGAATAAAAGTAACTGAACCTGCAATATCGTGTTTAACTCAAAATCATCATCCCATGTTTCTCCCTTATCCAGCTTATTGAAAATTACAGTCAAGAAGTGCTGTAGCAGATCACCTAAAGATGGCAAGGTACCAGCAAACATGTTAAAGTAATTCTGACATACCTATTGATAGACCAGGATAATACAGGTTGAACCTACAAGACCAGCAAACATGTTAAAGTAATTCTCACATACCTGACCCTAGCAAGTAAATGGCGCGCAGCACTGCCAGTTCATCCATCAATTTCCAACCATTCATCAATTTTGACAATATATGCCTGCCAATACAATCCACCTACAATAGATATATAAAAGAAGACATCATGTTAACCACAACCAAGAAACTGAGATCTGTACATGGGTTCGAGCTATCACCTGCTTCTGGATGTACACTGTAAGACATTCGTGCACTAAAACCACCGGAAGTGGAGTACTTCTTGGTTCAAACTGCCGAACCCAGGTAAGAACTCTTGATGGAAGGGTGCTATTTTTCTGGAAAGGTAAGAGCTCTGACATATGGAGCTCGTCCTGTTGGCAAGAAATTACATTAAAACTAGACCTAAAGAATGCTATAACAAATGCTCTTAGACTATCAATCAGAAATACCTGAAAAGAAGGAAGAAGAGTAGGAAAAGGAAACAACACTTGTAACATATGTGAGTCGTCTTGTGAACGAAGATATTCAGATTCACCAAACCGGAAACCAAAAGTATAATTTGTTCCTTCAGCTGCAGAAATCGATCCACTCTCCCGACCGAATATAGCCTTTCGCAAAACTTCATCATTTAAAGGAGGCAGACATAAATTTCTAGATAAGTTCAACGTTTTCCATGCAATCCCATTCTTAGAAAGGGTCTTTTGGCAGACTGTTAAAACCGGATTTTCTTGACATAAGGATCTTGAAAGAGGAAATTCATTTACAACCCCTGCAGGCATATTCTCTTCCTTTGCATCAGGAAGTGTTTTTCCATCCTCATGTGCAGACTGAGTATCAACCAACCTTTTCTCTGCCAGTGTATCAACCAAGAACTTACACCAAATTTTCTCTGAGCGTTTTACTGGCACAATTACACCATCATCACTCTCCACTTTTTGTTTACTGTAAATATATTGAAAAATATGATCACCATGGCCTATAAGGCCTGCTAATGACACACAGAAAACTTCTGACAAAGTTAAGCCCGCAATGCTATGCCCATGTTGAACACCTTTATCCAAACTGCCAAAACCATCAATCTCACAGTCATTTCCTTTTCTAGATACAAAAGCTGATGTCATGGGAATATGCCGGATCAGCTGTAATGATTTTCCAGCAGAAACAATAGACTTAGCTATGTCCTTAATAAACAGTGGACACGACTGAAGGTCTTTATTGTTCCATTCCTTTCCTTTCATAAAACTAGACGTTGAGATGGATTCCCTTTGACCCACTCCCTTTTTATCATTTGCTACTGATATGCGGTCACTGGCACAAGATGAGGCAGAGGCCCCAACATCTAACATTTGACACTGTACTTGCCTCAATAGATAGCTTTTCTCCCAAAAGTCAGCCTCATCAACAGATATTACTCTATTAGCATAAAAGAACATCTGAAAAGACAGGAGCCACCAGAAAAGCGTTCACCAAGGATACATATAGGACCGCCCGTTTAAAATAGAAAAAAATTGCATGTATACTGCCTATACAAATTTTAAGATAAATTATAATCACAAGAGTACAGAAATTAGAATTATATGGCGTGCAAACTTTCAAACAATAAAAGATGGATTGGATGCATCACAAGCACTTGCGGGATGCAAAAAAAAAAAAAAAGAATTTATAACAAAAAAATAAACTGCTGCAAACTTTTGGGACTCCAATCACATTTACCTCCTCATATGGATCATCTAGTGTTCCTTCAAAAAGCCAAGAATCAAGACCCTCAATATATGGCAATATACTTCCAATAAATAAATGAAGTAGCATCTTGTAGTCTTCCTCCTGAAATTGGCATAAGTTCCAAATTTGGATTACATAAACCAGCTAAACCACAAGTATAAACTAGAAACCATAAGGTTGTAGAAAAAATGTGTAACAACCTCACCACCTCGCACAAGACACACTTCATCCAGCTTCTTGTAAAGATGGTTAAGGACATGCACAGCCAAGTCAGCAGCAGGAAGAGAAGAATTAGACTCAAAATACACTTGGGGGATGGCACCATGCACTATTTGCAACAAATACTCAGCACCTGAGCAAAGACTAATATCAATAAATTGTCATCAGCGATATCCATTGCATGAGGATGTAGAATCCAAAAGGGGAATTGACATGTAGGGCTGACACAATAACCTCGAAGGTAAATAAAAAAATGGAGAATAAAAAAATATTGATAATTCTGATAAGCTTTTGATTGGTGATTGTCTCCAACAGCATGGGACAAACTACAGCCACTGACATCCCAAATTTTGAGAAGGTAAATCTAACAGCGTACGAACCTAGATAAAGAATTGGCCAACCCCAATAACGTAGGAGTTGTTCCAACGGCATCATTGCTTATCTTCATTTCCTCCTTTAAAGAAATATCGCGCAACCTCTGCCCAAGCACAATTTAACATACACTTATAAATGAGCGTTGAACATGACGACTAGAAAATAGCAAATTGAATCCAGTAAACTGAATCCAAAACATACCGTAAGCCATGAAGAAACAGAACACGCAAAAGCCCTCAAAGTAGGCGGTGGTAATTTAGCAGATTTCTCAATTTTATTGACTAAAACTTCCACCAGTTGTAAGCATGTTGCAGCATACATAAATTGATGGACAATGGCGTGAAGACTTGTATGAGAGAGGTGATTCACATGTAACCCACTTTTGACTTGAAAAGACTTTCCATTTTGGTCCCAATAAAATAGTGAGCTAGAAAATCCTTGCAACATTTGCAACACACTCCGAACCTTGGAAGGAAAAATATATAAATTAGGTTCCAAGCCTACCAAAAAGAAAGTACAACTACATTTGATTTAAAAAGCTAAAGACTTACCAAGTCAAGTTCATTCGTCCTCAAAGAAGAAACTGGTGTTGCAAAATGTATGCCATCGGAGAAGTCACTGTAAAGCCTATTGATCAAACCTTGAGAAACTTCTGCATTTCCTGCATCTGCCGAATCAAGGATGATATGAATTCCACGAAAACATGAAAATCACGAGGGGCATAAATTTAGAAACTTGTAATGAAGAAACAGCAAAAGATTATCTCATACCATAGCAAACAGGCTTCCCCATCGGTGAATTTGGCCCTTCCCCTGCCGAGTTCTGGGTTTGAGTTTGGCCTTGTATAATTTGAATTGATTGATCGCGAGAACCGAACCTAACCTACCAACACCTCAACGACGATGGCAATTTGCTAATCACTGCAAAACCCTAACCCAGTTGTAAACTAAACTATGCACAGTATGTATGGATAAGATACGACGTCGTAGATGGTGTAGAGTTCCTCCGGGTTCCACCACCGCTGCTAGCATTAGCCACTGGATCGGTTGATTGGAGCTGTACTATCAGTGTTGCTCTCGCAGTAGCATTTCCTTTACCCAAAGCCCAGTCCCCAGTGAGAATAAATTGAACCAGTATTTTAATTTCAAAAATAACAGAAATACAACAAATTTAAAAGGGAAGCGCGCAAGGCATATATACACGTTAACACGTGCACCCGCCCGAAGAAAAACATAAAAAATACAAAAATAAATTTGTTTAATAATGGGTATTAGTTTTATTTCTCAGCAAAAAAGATAAATGGCAATGGTTTTATTCTGCATTCTCAAAAGAAAAAAAAAAAAAAGAAGGTTTTATTTAGCATAATACTTTCTTCTTCTTCTTCTTTTATAGGATTTAGCATAATACTTTGGAGTATTTTTTATAGACCTAAATTATTCTACGGACCCATAATTTAATAAAACAATTCCACATCAAACCTAAAGTATAATTACCATGTAATTTAACTAGTGGTTGCATGTGACATTGTCCTCCTCATCTATCAACTTATGTCAAACTTATGTCAAATTAATGTCCTTTATGAAAGCATGTCATGTTAAATGCAGAGAATCGAAATTTATCATAAACTCATTTATCGAGAATGGAATATTTGAAATTTTCTATAAGCCAGCTTCATGGATTCAATTAAATGTTAATTGCTACACAAATTCGTATTTACAAATTAATATGAGCTCCATCACCTGTTCTATGTAAATATATGCACTCTATTTTTTTTCTACTGATCTTAGCTCCACGTGACATTCTCAAAAGGGAGACCACTAAAAAAAAAAGAAAAAAAGAAGAGTCATCCCTCAAAGCAGGAACCCATCATATTAGTTGAAAGTCCTCAACTTGATGAGGAATAAAATAACCAGCTTCCAAATCCTACTCGGTTCACTGATAAAGCCATGTACCTTCACCAAAGGCAGCAAAGGTGAAATGGGCAACGGAAAAATCTCCACTAGTGCTGCACGCTGGCATATTTCCAAAGAAAAGCTAGCATCTTCCAGATACTGCATGAGAGAAACTTGGCTCCATTTCTTCCAAAAACATATGGGTCCTAGGTTTGGGTCTTCCCTTCCATGAGTCTTTAAAATGCTTACGGCTGGAAGCTTTAACTTGAACAAGGGCTGCAATTAGTTTAGGGACAGGGATGATCCTCGAGCACATGGTATGAAGAATGGTGCAAAGCCACCTCTCAACTGGAAGTGTGTGGAGAGATCAATATCGCCCATTTTTTGGCTTAGTATGGTCCCTCGGACTATGCAATTTATCCTGCAATAGTGCACACAAACATGCCAAGATATCAATTTACTAATATAATCGAAACGTCTCTTGATTTTCTGTGAATTTTACTTTTCTGAACTTTATTGATCTAAGAAATAAAAACCTGAGTGTTGAATATGTGAAAACTCACTATTAGGTTCATCAGAGCAAAATTCTGGGCATAGTGTGAGACAGTTTGATCATGTGGATTTCGTACAAAAGGATGCTCTAGTAGCTGATTGGCTGATAGTCTCTCGGCAGGGTTCCTACGGAAACACCAACTGAGGAAATCCTTTCCCTCTGCAGATAATGTTTCTGGTATATCTGGGGTTGTGTTCAGAACCTTGAACATAGCTTGAGGCTGACAGATAGAAGACAAAAATATGTTTAAAAAGCAATGAAGTGACTCTCAAACAGAGCGAAGTCAGATTTGCACTGAATGTTACACATGAAACTGGGGGCAGTGGGCAATATTCTGAAAAATTAGAAACTATGATGAATAAAACATAACAAGTTTCAACATTAACTTACTCCTGTAAATTCACTCCAAGGAGGTTTTCCGTTGAACATCTCAACGATTGTGCAACCCAAGCTCCATATATCAACAGCCAAAGCAAGATCAGGATCAGCATTATTCTGCATCACAGCCTTTATGACCTGCACAAAACAAACAAGGCGTCTATATACAGTAACAGTATGCACAGGCCATCTACAAATTTATAGATAATGGTGATAAGATTTACCTCAGGAGCCATCCAGTATGGACTGCCCTTCAGAGAAAGATTGTATGAGCGTCCATTAAGCTGCATCCAAAAGTAAGTTATACATAAAACCCAGAAAAATAATGTAGGAAGTGTTGACAAGAACAAAATACACAAGTAAAACATGTAATCTCAATTATTCCAACATTAAATTGTCAGGAAATATATGCATTAAATTTCACATTGTAAGGTATTACTCACATGTTTTGCCATCCCAAAATCAGCAAGTTTAACAACGCCTGATGCATCAACAAGCAAATTTGCACCCTTTATATCCCTATCACAATCATCAAAGCTTCATTCAATAATGCAAAGACATCTTACAACCAAACAATGCAACATGATTTTCCAGACATTTTTCCCCATTTAACCAGACAATCCTCTTTGACGGGAAACATCAAATACTGAGTCAAGCAATTTATGAAGTAAGAAGTTCTTTTTAACAGATAAGTGACGTCACAATATAAGTCCGCTACTCAAGCATTATTCTCACCTGTGAATTGTCTTTGTGCTATGCAAAAAAGCCAACCCAGAGAGGATATGGCGAGTAAAATTGCGAACTACAGATTCTGTCATAGCTCCAATATGGTCTTGGACGTACTTATTAATTGATCCAGGATGAACATACTCCAAGTATATGTAGAAGTGATCATCAATCTGCACACCAAAACACAATTTTACAAAAACTTGTGAGGATTTGTCTTTCAATAAATTTAAGATATAGACAAGATTTATACTGCACTACCGTAAAAGATATATACTCACCACTTCACTACCATAATACTGCACAATATTTGGATGCTTTAGTGCACGGAGGACTTTAATTTCCTGCAACCGGTAGCTAGTAAGAACAGTCCTAGAACGTATTAAAGATAAATGCAAAAAATATAAAACTATTAAGGAATGCGCAGTAGGATAGTTGAGCATAAATGAAATATATTTTCAGCATATGTGACATGTCCTCAACCTGTGTGCAATAATCAGTAGTGGCTACTGGCAGGCATGAACTGGAGTTCCTACACAACAAATGTTGATGAAAGTGCAAGTGTGGCATGTGTGGAGATATTATGCAGGTTTTTGACTAGCTAATATCAACCAACTCATTCCTTCCTATAATTGATAACAGCAGACACAACGCAACACGTCCCATTAAAAGTTTTATCACAACATAATTGAAAGAGAAAAAACTCCTTCAATACTTCAAGTGCCCATCTGTATAAATGACTAATATTCCCTAATTCCGCAATTTGGTTAGTCTAAATAAACAAAAGGTAGAAAACAATATATAACTGAAACTGCCCTGTGAATCGACAAATTGATAAAGGACTCCAGAAACAAACCTGCTCCAATTGCTTTATACATTCAGCAGATTTAGGATCATCGGGAATGAGATCAACTTCCTTCATTGCACACAAGGCCCCGGTCTCTCTGTCATATTATTAGAAATGGTTAGAGAGCTAAATTCAAAAGAAAAAGAACAAAGAGCAAAACTAATTAATGGTCATTGCAGAACAAAGTCAAGAGAAAGTAGCACAAAGCTTCCAGCGAGCAGCATACCGGTTGGTTGCAAGATAAACACTACCAAAGGTACCTCGTCCAATAAGTTTTCCCTTCTGCCATTGACCATTCATTGATGATGTGGACAGAAGTTCTGCATTGTGATGCATGCTAGATGGCTGTGGAAGTACCACGGCTCCAGGAGGCAAAGGCAAAGGGTGAGCATTGACTGGACTACTACTTTCACCCCTCTCTGAAAAACCCTCTGTGAATGATTTACGATGCAACGCAAATACATTTCCATTTGAATTTTTGTGGTTCAAGCGTGGACTTCGAGATGTGGGGCTGGGAAGAGGAGAATGACTGGGACTATGAGCAATATTGTTTGGTGATAACCTTGAAGGACAGGTATCCTGATATTGTTCTTGAGAAGCCCCAAACGTAGGAAAAGGATCCCCCGCCTTTGATCTTCGAGGGCTAACTGCAGGACTTGAAAACCCACTTGTTGGAGCACTCTTGCTGAAGTTGTAACTTTCATTCTCCTGTCTCTTTCCCCTATGACAATTGCTTGAACAATGAATGGATGAAGTGGTGGCAACATGTACAGGAAAACCATCCATCTCCACAACGTTTGATCTTTGTGGGCTAAGAGGATGACTTGAGACACCATTTGCCTGAGCTTTCCTAGAAAAAACATTCAGTCCCAAGTTGTAATTAAAACCCCCACCATTATTATTTACATCTTGGGAAGATAATGCCCTTCGACGATTGCTTGAATTAGTCTGTGGTGAAGAGGAGGATGGCCCTTGACGACTGCTTGAATTAGAATTCTGTGGTGCTGAGGAGAATGCCCCTTGATTATTGATTGAATTAGAAATCTGTGGTGCTGAGGTTGTGGCAACTTGATTTCTTTTTTTCCTGATAATTCAAACAGCGAAAACCGCCCCCAGTTGAGCATTATAACAAACACACGCAAACAGATACAGAGACACAGAGGCGAAAGAAGGCTTTTTATTTACCTGAAGAACGCATGGCCGAAGTACCCATCTTTGGGCACAGAGCCGGGTCTCCCGATCACGAGAGATTCTGGTACAGGCAAGGGTTGTGGAGCAGCAGCAGCCGAAGAGGACCAGTGGTTTGACTTGGACTCACGATCCGGAGACGTTGACTTTCGGGTGGAATATTCGGGCGAAGTGGGCGAGGAGCGAGACTTTTCAGGGAGGGGGAAACACAGGTCCTGGTCATTGATGTGGCGGAGCTTCTTCTGCCGCGTGAGCCGCCTGGGGCTCTGCTCACAACAGCCCCCAGTGTCCTGTTTCAGAGCTGAAACAGAGGAAGCAGAAGGAGAAGAAACAGAGGAGGTAGAGGTAGAGGTAGAGGTAGAGGCAGAGGGTCTGCGAAGAGAAAAGGAAGAAGAAGGCATTTGGGTAATGGAGAAAGCAAGTGGTTCTGGTTTTGCAAAAGTTAAAAGGCTTAAAGCCGTGGTCTTTTATTGTTTGTTGGTGTCAAAATCTCAGAGAGCAGAGCTCCGAAGCTATGTTGTGAAGTTGTGGAAGGGGAAGCAGCCCCGTTGTTTCTCGCTTAGCTTCGATCTGAATTTCCTCCTTGCTTCGTTTACTTTATTTGTTCATTAAATTCAATACTTTGAATTTATTTATGGTCAAGACCCTGCTTGGGAATTCAGAATTGAAACCTCAGAGTACTTGAAAGCCTGAAACTTACTTGGGTCCTCTCTCTCTCTCCCTCCTAATCTCTTTGAGACTAAAGGAGAGACTTTGATGTTGTTTGGTGATGGAGAAGAGAGGAGACGTCGGAGTCAGCCAGTCAGGAGGATGAGGAACAAATCCCTCACAAACTCTCTGTGTTTACAATGTCAATTGTCAATGCACGAGATGACCTTCTGCTGCTTATTTTTTTATTTTTAATTATTAAGGTAAGTATGTGATTAGTTATTAATTATCCTCATTAGTTGGTGTTGATGTTGTTTTTAAAATTAAATTAAATGCTTTTTAAGGAAGGAGGGCGAAAGTTTGGAGTTGACGAAATCTAGGATACGCCGTAAGCGTATGCGTACTGCAAAGCTAGGCGTTCTTGGGCTCGTTGGGGAGAGGACTTCGTCAACCAAACCAAACCAATCCTCGACTTTCTTTTTCTTTCTTTTTTTGTTGTGAAAATTGACAAAACAAAACCAAAAACTCTGAGACCTGTAAAATTGCAGTCCGGTTGACACCGTGTTACGGTGTTTTACTGTATGCCCCTTTGACCTTTTTAACTTATTGTTGAACGAAGAAGACTAGGAACACATGGATGATGGGATGGAGATTTGGATTTGGAAAAAAAATAACAAAAAAGCCTCATCGTCAACACGACAAAACCCACTGGACCAGCCAACGAGGCACGAATCAAATTCCATGTCAAAACTACTTGTTTTTTAATGTGAGATTACTTTGTGTCTCTGAAAAATCTCAAGTATTCTTGGTCGGTCGTTCTGCTGTTGGGTGCCATGCATTTAGGTTTAGCAAGCCAAGCCAACCCACTAGTTTTTTGCTTATTCAAATCATATTTTGTAAGGAAAAATACTTCTCTCCTCACCTATAAGGAGGACTTCCTTGTTACCTAATGATGTGGCTCAATTACAAACTGACTTTTTTTTTTGTTTCTTCTCCTTAATTATTCATAATTGAATTCTATTTTTTAAATTGCTTTCATCTATCCCATAAACCACATCTTTAGTTTTTCATAACTATACAAGGAGACATTATATATGTATTTTAATTTTGTATTTTATAGTCTCTACAACTCAAAGTTTGCTTGATTAAAAATTGTCTATATCCTTTATAAAAAAAACACCCTCTATGAAGAAGGAAATTAGTTATGCTAATGAAAGAGAAGGAAAAAACACTTTCGGGACTTTAAAAAAAGACACATGTCAATTTGCAGTTGAGCCATATTACTGGATAAGGAGGAAAATATTGTTCTTTTGTAAGTGCCTTGCTTGCTCCGTTGATCTCTAAGATTAAGATTAAACAAAGGCTTACGAGATATTCCCCACTCAAACTAAGGATCATTCTTATTTAATAACAGACATTAAGTTGGGAGTAATGCTACTTACCACATTATTATCCCACATTTCTATATCACATAATGTGGCATGTCCATATCATATGTCATATCAATTAAATGAATGAAGTGTATTTTAATAAATAAAATTAGAAAAACAGAAACTATTATTTTACATGATGTGGTATGTACACATCATATGGTATAAAATTGTGGTATAAAAAATGTGGTAAGACTAGTATTATTCTTAAGTTGGATTTGAACAAACCCCCAAGACCTCCTCCGTAAAAATAAACCTCAAAGACCTGAAAAGTTGACTTTTAAGTATTCTTCTCATTTGTCTTCACTTCTTATAAAAAAAACAAAGAAAAACTTTACTTTGTTTTTTGCTATTTTTCTTTTCTTATATCACATGTTATTATAGGGGTGGCATTTTAGACCGAAAAATAAAAAAATGGTAAAAACCAACCGACATTATACCGCATTGGAACCATAATAGCTAAAAAGCGACCTAACATTGTGGTTTTAGAAACCGAACCGCAATTGCGGTTGCAGTTGTGGTATGTGATTTTGGCAACTCGTGGCAAACTGCAAATATATATTTTTTAAAATTGCATTTTAGTAGTTAGATGTTGTGTTTTAATTTGGTTGAGTTTAATCTATTATTAATATGCTTTAATGTTGTTGCTTTTGTGTTGTGTTGTGTTATAGATGGAGTTTAGCCACTCTAATACACCTAATGCCTCTAATCCCCCAAACACAAACTGATACACTCGAAACACAATACCCACTCTAACTCATAAAGAAGGGCTTCTTCTTATAATAAAATCCACTCACCACCACTTACACTTGAGTTCTCTTTTTGGTTTGTAACTTTAATTGACTTTGAATTGGATTTTTCTTTAGGTTGTGAATGCTTGAGAAGTTGAGGTTGTGAATTTATATTTTTTGGTTAAAGTATGCTTGAACTCAAAAAGTTTCAAAAGAAACATCAAACCTAGGCTTAAAAGTGTGGAAGATTGAATTTTTATGAGACAAAAAGACCATACTTAAATATTTAAAATTGTATAATTTAGGCCCAAAATATTCAAATCGGTTTAAACAGTAAATTCACGGTAACCGACCGATTTTTGCGGTTTACCGCAAATAGTTAGTCGGTTTGCAGTTCGAGAAAAAATTCACGGTTACCGAACTGCAACCACCCCTATGCTATTATTATACACGCTCATTCTTTAGAAGGATCCCTTCAATTCAAATGAATAGTTGAAAAAAAATATCATTGTTGGGGACCCTCCGCAATATGCTTCAATGGGATTAGAATTGTTATTATTTTATTTACGAGATTATAATTAAGTTTAAATGAGTATTTATCTATATTATCCGAGAAAGCCTCAATAAAGAATTTTATGTTAAGGTGACTTTTAATCACTCTCACTGAATCACATATACGGCACATATTAAACAATATTTAATCAACTGATTTATCCAAAATAAATAAATTCAAAGGTCTAATGTCACGATAGTTGATTCACGATAAACAAACAAATAAATCCTTTGTCAATGAGGTCTAGCCAAGTGAAAAAGAGCTTTGACTTGCAGACTATATATTTTATGTTCGAATCTCATTCCTTGTAGTTTAAATTATCGCGTGTACTAAAGAAAAAACACCTCAAAAAATTTCCTTAAAAAAAATCCCTATAAAAGAAAAAGGCCTGGCCAAGCACGGATTCATCCTTAGCCAATAACTTATAGTTAGGCCCAATTAAACATAACGAAGGCCCAAACCAAGAAAAGCGCTGAATCTTGTTCTTTGCTTGGAACAGAAGTAACCTCACCGAACTCAAATCTTGATCATCGAACGCATATGATGGCGTTGTATTCTAACCTCGTTCGACAACCCAAGTCCCTCCTCACTGTTACAGTATTATTCTCATGAGGCTTGCCCTATTCTCTTCGTCTTTAGCCGCTAACAGGTTTTCATATTCCTCCCTCGTCGACCATTTTCTAGTTTAGTTTGGTCTATAGGACTATGCAAGTTATCCTACAATAGTGCACACACATAACATGCCAAGATATCAATCAACTAGCCACATAATCGAAAATTTCATGCTTTAATTTTCTTTGAATTTTACTTTTCATGAAATCAACTGAGTGTTGAATGTGAAAACTCACCAGGTTCATCAGAGAAAAATTGTGGGCATAGTGTGAGATAGTTTGATCATGGGAGTTTAGTACAAAAGGATGCTTAAGTAGCTGATTAGCTGATGGTCTCTCTGCAGGGTTCCTACGAAAACACCGACTAAGGAAGTCCCTTCCTTCTGCAGATAATGTTTCTGGTATATCTGGGATTTTGTCCAGAACCTTGAACATAGCTTGAGGCTGACAGATACAAAGACGAGGAGGTGTTAAGAAAGCAACAAAGCTATGTTCAAACAGAGCAAAGGTTGCCTTTGGGGCAGTAGACAGTATTCAAAATCAGAAACTATGATGAATAATAAAGCATGAAGAAGTTTTTTTCATTAACTTACTCCTGTAAAGTCACTCCAAGGAGGTTTTCCATTCAACATCTCAATGATGGTACAACCCAAACTCCATATATCAACAGCCAAACCAAGATCTGGATTGTTTTGTATTACGACCTGCAGAAAACAAGTGCGCGAAGGTATGTAAAGATTATATGTACCGTATGCACAGACCATCTACAAACTCTTACATAGTGATGATGTGATTACCTCAGGAGCCATCCAGTATGGACTGCCCTTCAGAGAAAGATTGTTTGACTGTCCGTTAAGCTGCATCCAAAAGATGAGTTATATATAAAACCAAGAACAATGCTGCAGCCAGTGTTGATAGGACAGGAACAAAATACACAAGTACGTAACATCACTATATCTGAAGGAATCATATATACAACAACTAAAATTTGTGATCTCGATTATTCAAAAATGAATTTGTCAGGAAATTAGGTCAGTAACAAAAAATTTACAAAACTCACTCGTTTTGCCATCCCAAAACCAGCAATTTTAACAACTCCTGATGTATCAACGCACAAATTTGCACCCTTTATGTCCCTAGCACAATCAACAAAAACTCCATTCAATAAAGCAAGGAAAGCTTATGACCAATAAAGGCAACATGATTCTCAAATTTTTTTCCCTATTTTAACTGGTTGGGATGATGTTAAGAATCTCTACAGTTTATCTAAACACTCTCTTTGAAGAAAAAAAACATTTTTTTTCCTAAGGTTCTTCTTGTCTTATCATTTATTGAAACAATTTATACAGTAACAAGCTCTTTTTAACAAATAAGCGACGCTGCAATATTACCCTGCTAGTGGAGCATTATTCTCACCTGTGAACTATCTTCTTGCTATGCAAAAAGGCCAGCCCATAGAGGATATGGCGAGTAAAATTGCGAACTACAGATTCTGTCATAGCTCCAATAATATGGTCTTGGACGTACTTATTGATTGATCCAGGATGAACATACTCCAAGTACATGTAGAAGTGATCATCAATCTGCATACGCAAAAACAATATTCCCCATGTTTAGTAAATTTGGCCAAGATTAGTTTTTAATAAAATTTGCACATGTGAAAAAGATACTCACTACTTCACTACCATAATACTGCACAATATTCAGATGATTCAGTGTACGGAGGACTTCAATTTCCTGTCCCATGTAGCTAGTGAGAACAGTTATAAAGCATACTAAAGGCAAATGGGAAAAACTCCTACACAACAATGCTGATAAGATCATAGCGCAAGTGTGTGGCATGTGTGTATAGATGAACAACTTTGCAGTTTTTGACTTGCT